AAACAAAAACCAAAAAATAATGTATAGATAATGGCTTGTTAATAGAAGCATGCTTATGAAAAGTGTATTTAGTGAAAGCCAACACCACCAATCTTGAATCATTTTGCAGCCAGGATAAAATACCCTGACAGAAAAGCAGCTTAACAAAGGGTTATTTTGGTTCACAGTTCCATGGAAATTCCATCATGACAGGGAGATCATGGCAGCAGTAGGTTGAGGCAGCTGGTTCCGTCACATCTACAGTGCGAAAAGAGTGTCCTTGTGCTTATCCTACTTTCTCCTTTTTGTTTAGTCCAAGATCACAACCCAGGGAATGGTGCCACCCACAGTAGGCTGGTCTTCCCACCTCAATTACCCTAGTTACCTAGATACATACCTACGGTCTCATCTCCCAGTTGACTCTAGAGCTCATTGAGTTGGCATTTGAGATGCCATTAACCATCACATTGAGTATTCCTGCTTGTTTAGTAATCACGAAACATAGCTTGTCAGAGGAGGGATTTGTTCTGTGCAATCTGTTGATGTTGGTTACAGGACAAGCATTAGCATTCTCCCTAACTTTTAGAGACCTGGCTGTCTGATCTCTTTGCTGTTCATACATCTTATCTGCGTTGCAATGTTCATTGTTGTGGTGGGACAGTAACAAGCAGGAGATGAGAGGTGCCTGTGGTGGAATTCTTACCATAACTCCAGGAAACAGTCACCGTTCAGTCCCAGGACACTCCTCAGGACTTTCCATGCAGTCTTCAGAAACCAAATTGGAAATATAATCTTGGCATTTACAATGTTGTAGAAGCAGTCTCTAGAAAGAATTCCTCAATCAAGGACATCTAAGCTTTTTGAAATAACACAAGAACACTGGCTTTATTTCTGTTGTCCTTGATTCACAAAATGCTTTGACTAACTCTGGGTGGTGGTGGCGGTGGTTAATCCCAGCACTCAGGAGGCAGAGCCAGGTGGATCTCTGAGTTCGTGGCCAGTCTGGTCTACAGAGTGAGATCCAGGCTAGGCCAAAACTACACAGAGAAACCTTGTCCCGAAAAACCAAATAAATAAATAAAAAATAAAAAAAAATGCTTTGTTTATATTTTCAGAAGGTATTTGATTAATAGTAGGCTCTAACTCAACCTGTCAACCTTTTCCAATAATGGTGTAAGGACAAGTATGTGAATAGACCAGAGGGGTCCTCATAATTTACAGAGCTCTATATTGAATAATTCAGAAGAGGGAGATGCTCTTGGTATTAATAATTCTGTGCTTTTGACCCTTCTAGAACATGTGGCCTTAGGGCAGGGCAGTGGAAGTGAAGATGTCATTTTTCCTGTACAGGATGAGTGAGCTCTTATACATGGACGTTTCAAGTTCCCAGGTTAAAAATAAGCAGAATAAAATTGGTACCCTTCATTAGCCCTTCATGCTTTGGATTGCATTAAAGGGAGATGTAAATAATTTCAGATTCAGTAAGTTGTTCTTATCGGAACATCCATTTTAAAAAGCTTTCTATAGTGGTTAGTGAAATTTACATTTCAGCCCTTGCCTTCAACCGTTTCCGCTTTTCTTGGCCTTACGGAGTTCTTTGTAGCTTCTTCTTCAGTCCTCATGGATATTACAGTTCCCATCAGAAATCACAGCACTTCCCTTTTGTCCAACTTGGCATGGTAGGTTGTGTCTGCAAATTTGAGAGCAACATCCCTCCCACCCCCAGCATCTAAGCAATAGCGCACCCACATCACAGCGTGTTTAATCACAGCATTGACTTCCATCCGTGACTTATTCTTCACAATACCTGAATGCATTAATATTACTGTCTATACAATTTAATTTAATTAGGGCCATGTTTATAATCCTCTTGGGAAAAGTCCTTAGTGCTCCCGGTATTAAAGTGCCTTTGGTTTTCACCTGGCTGGCAGTTTTCTCTAGAGGTGAATGAGCCAACAGTTACTCCTCTAGACACCTTTTCTTTTGATAAACAAGAGGAATAGCAGTTGTGAGAATAAAGGAGCTACTTGATGTAGAATGGTGGGTGTGAGTCCCCTTTAAGCCCCTCTGTCTAGATGTCTCTAATAAGATAACCGTGTCTAGTGTTTTTTAGTGGCCGGTAGCTGCTGATGGGCCAGGATAGATATTAAGTGCATGGCTATAGTAAAAGAGTAAAGAATGAGTACCGTGTAAGTCAGGCCAGAAGTTAGACAAAGTACATTAAGTCTTCAGTGTGGTGTTCCCGGATGTTTGTTCTGTTCTTCTCAGAAAAGAGCCCACATACCGGGTAACAGTCTCCCAGGGTCTCTGAAGGCCACTAAGCCCAGGGCTCCAGTAGGTAATCATTGCTGCCCATGGGTTGCTCAAGGCCTGAAAAGCACAGCTGGCCTTTTCCCCTTGTGGTCAAAGTAGCGAAGCCCCTGTGGTGGATGGGTGTGTTCACTGAACCTTTCACAAAGGGCTTCCTGACATCAGCTTAGAGCTTCCCAGTCACGTTCCACAACCACTCAGGCTCTACCTTGCTGCTGGTAGATCTCATCATGCAAGAGTATGTCTCCATCTAACCCTATGGACAGGGATTGTTGCACATGGTCCCAGGACCAGCACTGAAGCATGCTCCATCAGTGTAGTTGGGAGGCCAGGAACTTTGTAGAAATGGCCACTTACAAAGCAACCACAGCACGCCAAAGTCAACAATGCAATGATGAAATAGCTGTCAGGAATATATGCACTATGAAGGTGACACCCAGCCAGACCCTGTTTGTGGGCTGATGGTAAATCTCCCTCAATGCAAAGTAGAAACGTCCGTGGTAGGAGACTGGAATGAAGTGGTCTCCTCTCTTACAGACAAGCGTGAGGTTCTTGTGAGTCTTTGCTTTGAGACAGAAGTCATTATATTATGAAACACCATTTCTTTTTTTTTTTTTCTTCCTCACCCTCACGCCATTCCATTTGAAGACCCGTTGACTGTACCAGGCTTCTCCATCAGTAGTCTCACTTATGTAAATACACGCAATTCTTGCCTCTCTTACCCCACATGGCCCCAAAGCAAACATGCAGACACCAAAAAGAGTAGCTTATCTGTATGTTAGAATTGCTTGAAATAGTCAGTGTCTCGGGTTTTTGTTTTGTTTTGTTTTTTTAAAAAAGGGAAATTGGAAGTTTTGTATCTTGAGACATCTTGGTTGATATAGAAATCCAGTTTAGGTCTGTGGGCCTGCCTTGGATTGAGAACTTACCAGGATCGTTCAATGATGCATGTTTAAACAGATACTCCTTTTGATGCCTTAGGCAAGGTATGGTGATTCCATCTGGAAACTATAATATGTGTATTTTCATTTTAAATTGAAATTTACCATCCCCACCACCAAACTTTCCAGGCTCTGAGCAGAAGAAAAGCTTGACTTTGGCTACAGGGCCAAGGGGACTCCTGGCTTTCCCTTCCTTTGCCTTACCATTTGATGAAATACACAGTATTAAAGACCTGTCTTTCCAAAATGTAGGGATCCTTTTTTGATTTTGTTTGTTTGTTTGTTTTAGGCAGTCTTATGTAGCCCAGGCTGGCCTTTCTGAACTTCTTGTATCTTCCTCTCAAGTCCTGGGATTACAAGTATGCACACCTGGCCAAGCCCTGCTTTCTCACCTTAATCTAGAATTTGCTATTGCTCCTGAACTGTATTTTCATAGTGTCAACTTACTGATCTCTCCTCCAAGCTTATTTTTGGACCTTGTATTTCTCTCTTTTGTTTGTCCAGCTAAATCACAGGCACCATTGGAAGTTAGATTTCGAGGTGGACTGCAAGTCAGGCTGATTATTGGTATGTAGACTGGAGCTGCTCTTGCTGAACACAGTAGTTGTTTTCAAGTTACTGTTATAACAACCCTTCTCCAGTCACTCGGTTGGCTTTAACTGATCTAGTAAATACTGACTGTTTGAAGTTGAATGGTGGATCTGTTGTAGCCCCATGCATCATCTCCTTGTCAGTTGACAAATATCTTTAGTTATTGTCAAATAGTTTTTAAAAGACCCTGGAATACTTCAGAGAGAAAGGAAATAATTGCTTGTGACAGGGAGGAGGAAGGAGCAAGGGGATGCTTGCTCATGTGGATTTGGAAGGAAAGACTTTTAAACATTGGCTGTTTGGGGCTGTGGTTTTGGTATAGTGAGATAGTGATAGAAAATGTAATTAGATCATCTGGGGCTATAGCTCAGTTGGCGAAGCAGTTAGTTGATGAGCATGTATGAAGCTCTGGGTTCAGTCCCTAGCGCTGAAAAACCAGGCATGGTCACACATGTATGTAATCTCAGCACTCAGAAGATGGAAGCAGAAGTATCAGGATTTGGAGGCCAGCCTGGGCCATAGGAGACCATTTCTCAGAAAAGAAGACCAAAAACAAATCTAGATCTGAGTCTTTGGACTTAGAAATCATCATTTTCCCGCTTACTGGGATAGCTCACTCTTGCTGGATTCGAGTGTAGAATCATACTCTGATTAGAAGCTGGGGACGTTGCCAGAGAAGAGGAAGAAGCATGGTTTGAATGCATTGGTGACATTCAGTATGTGACTTGGGAAAATAATGTTGGGGAGTTGCTTTGAAAAAACGACTCTTAGACCTCTTCTTTTCACTTGCTCACCCTGCCCCTCCTTATTCTGGGGACAAACCGCTGGTGTGGCACCTGTTGACCTGAGTCCAAAAACCCAGTTTTTAACCTTTCCCGTGTTTTTTTGTTTGCTTGTTTTGTTTTTAAAATCAAAAATAGAAGGTATTTAAAAGGTGGTATTACTTGAGGGCTTGTCTAATCTGATGCCAGTGGGCTGCATATATCCCAGGGTAACTGTGTGTGGCTCAACACAGTCGTGGAGGACAGGGCCGTGTTGTGACTTCAGAAGGTTGGACACCTCTGGTTGGGGACCTCTGGGCAGGCTGACGTCCCACATGCCCCTCCTGCCTTTTGCTCAGAGTTTCACACCTCCATTGCAACATTTCATTTTCTCTTCTCCCTCCCCTTTTCCTAACAGCAGGAACGAATTTCATACACACCTCCGGAGAGTCCAGTGGCAAGCTACGGTTCCTCGACTCCACTTCATGTTCCAGTGCCTCGAGCGCTCAGGATGGAGGAAGACTCGATCCACCTGCCAGCGCACCTGCGTGAGTGTTTGCCTTCGAGGGGATGGGGGTTGGGAAGGGGAAGAACTGACAGAATGCTGAGCCAGGTGGATCCCAAGGAGAGAAGCTCTGGGCCTGAGATGGTGTTCATGGGACTTGGCCAGCTGTCCTGGAATCTTTGACCCTCACCTCATAATGGCTTTGAGAAGTTTGAGATTCTTGTCCGTAATTTCTCAATATTTTCATTCGTATCTGATAAGGACATTGCAGGGGGAAAAAGGTAGAAATACCTAACATATGACAGTGTTAATGTAGTAGTCTAAGAGGCCAAATGAGTTGTTTTTTTTTTCCCTCGAAGTTTTTATCTCTAAATTCATACTTACTCCAGCTTCATATTTTCTTTTGTCCAGTTGTAGATTCAGACTCATTGCTTTTAAAAGTTATTTGTGTATGTGGAGGGGAAGGATTGTGTTGCGGTGTGTGCCAAGGTACATATGTGGAGATCGGAGGGCATCTTTGGGGAGTTGGCTCTCTTCTTCCGCCATTGGTTCCGAGGAGGCATGAACGCAGGCTTGCCTGGCAAAGCACCTTCCCGTGCCACGCCACCCCCTCCCGTGACCCCCACTTGGTTTCTAAGCCACAGCCTCCCTTCTCGAAGGTCCCTCTCCCCTCCGTTTCTCCGTATACTGGCTGCTTTCCTTTCCTTCATTTCTGTGTACCGTCACATGTCTTTCCTTTGTCTTAGCTCATCTACTGCTCCCTCTCTCCCTTCTCTTGGCCATACTTTGCCCTAACGGCTTCACCTTCTCCCCCAGGTCACACCTGTTTTTGCTTCCATCCCCTTCCATCTCAGTCTTCAACTGCGTCTCGGCAGAGCATTGGGACCAACGTGCCTGTGTGACCAATGTTAGTCTCCAAAGCATTGACCCCTGCTGTGTCCTTTTTGTCTGCTCCTCATCTGCTGGTACCTAGCCCAGGGGATAAAATGTGACTGGAGCGTCCAGAGAAAATGAGTCACCTGATTCCCAACCTTATCACTTGTGTCCAAGAAAATGCCAGTTTTTCTGGCTTGAGTGTTGTCTGAAGGGCACATGTCCAAGTTCTAAAGGGCACTGGGGTTGCATTAGGCCTTTCCAAAGCCTAGGTACCCCAGGTACAGAGATGCAGAAAGCAGAATTTCCTGCTTCTACGGAGCTTAAAATGACGCGAATGTCAAATAGTCATGCTTACTGTCCCTTGGCATAATAGTGGTCCCCAGGTTGTCCTACTTTCTTTATCTGGCCCTCCTCAGAAGATGGCTTGTTGAGAGTAGGGAACAACTGGGGACAGGGGATGCATGATTTGTGTTGGGGGGTGGGTGTGGATCTTGGACAGTACTGCTGGGTCATCCCTTCTGCTTACTGCTGGGATTCATCTGGGGCTTTGAGAGCACTGGAATCCTTCCTTCCTCCGCCAGTGTGTAGATAGTGTTGCCTCCTGTGATCCAGACAGCCCTGCTTCATATCTTGAGCAGGGAGGTAAAAGGCACAGCTTCATCTTCCATTGCACCCTTCACGGTGATCTTGCAAAGCAGAGGTTGTGTCTGTAGAGGGGCAGGCAGGGTCATTCTTACAAAGTGGGAGTGTTTCGGCACCAGTAGAGCAGACAGAACTGGAAAAGAAGCAGCAAGCAATAGCAAATTTGCCTCCAGGCGTCGTCCTGTGACCAGGATATTTACTTCAGGACTGTTCACCTCGGGGAGAGCATACTCATGCCATGCAGACAGAACACCTCTACCAAGTCTCACTTACTTATTTTTCCAGTCATTACTGGCAGCCTGTGCTCTGCCAGGCACTGTCCTAGGTACCCCAGGGACAGAGGTGCAGAAAGCAGAATCCCCTGCTTCCATGGAGCTTAAAAATTACAGACCATTATCCCAAATGGGGTGAATTTTCATTAAACTATTTCTGTTCTTATATTTATATCCCCCGGGAGGGACCCTAACCCCTTGATAAGCCTCTGGACACCTTTGAACATACATGAGCTCTTTGCTGTAGAAATTACCGTAGAAAAACAAAGCCTAGCAAGCTAACAAGCAGACTGAACTGGCAATTGGATCTTCATTCTGAGCTTGCTCTGCCATTTCTCTGTGAGCTGGTCATTTATTTCAGTCTTTCTTTCCTTCATGTTTGGTTTTGGAAACGAGAGCACTTTTAACAGTCCTTCTTTCTTTAACGATGGTGGGTCTCATCTCCGCCATCATCATCCTTACCTACAACTATCTTTCCTTATCAATACTTAGTCTCTCCTTGAGAAGGCAGCTTCCTTATTGAGCCACCTCTCTCCTCCTTCCCAGCATATCACCAGCTGCAGCACACTATCAGAATAACTAGTAATAAGCTGGGCACAGTGGCTCATGCCTTTAATCCCAGCACTGAGAGGCAGAAGCGGGTGAATCTCTGTTACTTCAAGACCAGCCTAGTTTACAAATTGAGTTCCTGGACAGACAGGGCTCATAGAGAGACCCTGTCTCAAAACAAGCAAATAAAATTAATAATGTCTACTGTAATTATTGTGGCACTATATGAAGTCTTGTATATATAAATTATTTATTTCACTCTCACTTTAATATTTGTAAAGGTAGATTTTTCTGCTTATTTCTATACCATGCATAAAGGCTATCTCCATGTTATACATAAAGGCATACAGATTTTTATTTTATTTTTTGGGCAATGCTAGGGATCAAATCCAGGACCTTGCACATGTTAGTCAGGCACTCTACCACAGAGCTTTATCCCTAGCTTAAGGCTTCAAAAATTTAAGTAATTTTTCAGTGTTGGTCACGGAACGAGTAGAATCGCAGGGTCAAGATTCAAATTCAGTCTTGTCTAATCCTGCATCTTAGATTCTTAATGCCACTGTGCAGCTATATGTTTAACCCATATATTTCACATGGATGAGTAAATTTAGGGTTGCTACTTGGCCAGTTGCACTGATATGGCCCCAGAATGGGTTTGTGACTGGAACCCATTCTCTGAACTATTGTTCTGTTGCTGAAGAACTCATGTGTCACCCCTGGATGGATGGATGGATGGATGGATGGATGGATGGATGGATGGATGGAGAACTCATGTGTCTCCCTTGGATAGATGGGTGGATGGATGGATGGATGGATGGATAGAGAACTCATGTGTCTCCCTTGGATAGATGGATGGGTGGATGGATGCTCACCAAGATAATTACCCACTGTGGCGTTGTAGCACATTACTGCTGGCCTGGGGGATAATCAGTAAATTATGGATTCATGCTAGGGCAGTCAGTGGTTTTGCCTAAATGTCTCAGCTGTGGCAGTCCAGCTTAAGTGATAGCTCTCCATGGTAGTCTGCAGGAGCCCTGCTGTGTCATGGTTGGTTTCAACATCTGGAATGAATCCTCTAGAAGTAGAGGTTCCCAGGCTCCTGCCGTCTGCCCTCTGCCGGGGCTTTCCAGGCGAGCTAGCCCAGCTTCCCTCCTCCTTCTTCTAGTCCAGGATTGCCTGCTCCTTACTGTATTTGAGGAACTCAGTGGTCTCTGACTCTGTGAAGTTGGGCCATACAATTGAAGATGCATCCCAGCTGAGTTTCCAAACCTTAAAAAAAAAGAAAGAAAAAATAGCAAGAGAATTAAGTTACTGCTGTTTTGATCTGGGATTCCAGACAATTCCCAGTAGAATGTGCATGGAAAGTACGGGGAAGAGTATGAGAGCCGGGACAGCAGCAGGACATTTATGGTATTGCGAGGTTGGAGCGTTCTCAGAGGCCTGTTTAAAAAGAAGTACCAGGCTACTATTGATTGCTTCCAGTAGCTTCTTCTAGATGTTTATCTCCAGCTAAACCTCGCTCTTAACTCTCTTTTCTTCTCTCATTCTTAAGTCAAAGGAAGATTAGGGAAGGGAGAGGGCAGGAATCTAATAGCTGGGATTCTCACAGAGCCTCGCCACTGTGTTCACAAACACAAGTCTAAACTGAAGCCCCAGCCTGGAGAGGTAAAAAGAGGGGCTTTGCCTTATGTTAACAGATGTGATAAAAGCGAAGTGGTAAATGATGCAAAGTGTTAAGTGATGGTTAGGAGGTGCTGAAAGGAGATGCAGGGGCCATACAGGTCTTGGCGGAAGAGTCCCTGTCACCTTGGTCCTCAGTGCCCAGAACTGCATGCTGTTTAGTAGTCTTGCTGCTGACCTCTCTGTTTATTGGAGGACGGCTAATGTTTGTGCAGAGGATAGAAAGGGCATGCTTGCCCTCTTCCTCTTCTCCTTCCTTCTTCCATAAAGCATGCTGAATCGTTTGTAAGCCCGAGGGTGAAAGGGCTGGAGAATAGTCAAAGCAGGCCATGAAAAACAAGTTACCTTCTTTGTCCCGAGCACCATCCTTCCTAGATGGGAGAACCCTTGAAGGACCCCAGGGGTGCTGGGTCAGGTTCACAGTTGGCCCTCATCATTGTCTGGAAAAGGAAAGTCTTTTCCCTGTTCTCGTGGGGGGCGGGGCTTACCCTGTGAAGGAGGGACTTAGTCTGCCGGAAAGCTACCTTTTGTCACCTTGCCAGGAAGTGAGGCACAGCAAGGTGCTCCCACTGTCTCCCAGCAGAGGCTGCTCCCTACGATTGGCATCCCTATGACCAGATGTCTAAGCAAATAGACTTAGAAGGTTGAGAATGTTATTTTGGTTCATGCTTCTGTAGTCTGTAATCTGTGGCCACCGACTGCTCTGTTCTGGGCCCACGGCAAGGCAGAACATCATGATGAGGCAATAGCTTCCAAGAAGCAAAGACAGAGACAACGAGCGGGAAAGGGAAGGATCCGGGTTCCCATAGCCCCTTCCAGTCATTAGCGTCTTTCTGTTAGGCCCCACCTTCTAAGGGTCCCACCATATTCTAATAGTATCATAGGCTGGTGTCCAAGCTTTTGGCATATGACTCTCTAGAGATCCAAAGATCTAAACCTTAACAGATTCACAGAATGTTCATAGGAGCCCTTTAAGTACCAGGCCTCAAACACTGAAGTCCAGGCTGGGATGTACAGTAGAAAG